CTAGTTTTATCCTCTTATTTATCTACCTATACCTGCAACCTTATTTTCCCTCTAAGGTTAACTCATCCAGCTATCCTTGTTTCCATTTCTTCCTACAGGTCTACTAATTATCTCCACTGCATCCAAATATATCTTCCAACCTATAAATTTCCTTCCTACAACCAAAAAACAAATCCCCTCTCACTTCTGCCCTCTTGAAATGTTTTCTACCTCTCTCTCACATCCCAAATATAAAAAGTAGTTATTTCCAATTCTTCACCTATTATGTGAAATACTTTCTTACTCTGCTTTAAACTAGCTTCAGAAATTAATTTTGTGAAAATCATTTATCTGCTAAAATCATAGATCTTTTTTTCATTTCTCCACTGACTTCAGAGTTTGGCTCAAACCCATCTTTCTAGCTTTACCTGCTATGACTCATGTACACCGCATTATAAATACCACAAAATACACTGAGGTCTAAGAACAAAACACACACCCTAACTTTACTCCTCCCACATCTACATCATGGCATTGTCTTTTCTCAACCAAAAGAGCTTTTCTTCTCTAGCTTTTCTGACTGGTATACCGTCATCCAATTCAATCATCTCCTTGAAGAAACCTCTGCTGACTGCCAATTCCCACAAGGATATTCAGAAAGAAATCCTACATGTTTGTTATTCAACCCAAAGCTGGAATTACCTAAGTAGTTTGGAAAATATTAGTTCATATTCAAAATTAAAGCTTACCTTTGCTTAGTCCATGTGGCTTTTCCTTGGTACTATTTCCTTCAAGCTTCACAGATTCATGGCTAACATTATATTCCTTACATTCCTGGGTGAAAGGTACATTTCTTTAATAACCTAGTATAAGTTTTAACATGTTAACATACTCAGCCATAAAGAAGGATAAACTTGAGAAATTTCTAGGTAAATGGATGTACCGAGATCACACTCTTATGTGAAATAAATCAGACACAGGTGTAAATAGCACACTGTTTCTCTGGTGTGAGAAAACGAAAGTATAAATAAGAACCAAAATGTATAACAGATATTGAGAAATAGGAAGAAAATGATCAAATGGTTATGGGAACTAAGAAGGTGGGGAGGGAAAAAGGAAGAAAAAAGAAAAAAAAACAGAAAAGAAGGGAAAAAATGGAAGCTTTTGTAAATAATGAGGGGATAGAGGTTGAAGGCAGAGGAAAGTAATGAGGAAAAAAAGAATAAAGATATATCAAGTACAGGCACAAATTCCCTATGATGAATGCAATCATGTCTCATATACACCAATAAGTTAATTTTTCACAAACCAGGTTAACAACAGGGCTGTAATTCATATGTCTCACTACCGGGGGGCTCTGAACCACTGGTGGTACATGCATGACTGCCCCATTAAGGTGGCAAGGCCCAGTCTGATTGTACGGCACCAGCTATCAGATGGGTCAGGCATACATGTACCACCTGTAGTTCAAGCCAGCAGGAACATGTCAAAGAAATCTAAACTGGACCGTACTTTATACTTCTATACATAATGAATACTTAAAAAGCCACCCAATTTGGGAACAATGGTGAGGAGGGAGATGAATGAGTAAAGGTTATACAAACTGATTAAAAACTTTTTTCATGAACATATCAAAAGCAAAAGCTAGTTGGTCTTTGCCTTCCAAAAAGAATGAAAAACAGAGGACCGGGGATTTAGCTCAGTGGTTCCACCACCTGCCTTGCAAGCGCAACGACCTGAGTTCAATCCCCAGTACCAAAAAAGAAAAACCTTAATTATGTTACTATGAGAAAATGCATGAAATGGGATTGACTTAAGAATTCCCATCCCTATGAAGCGTTCACCCCAGGCCAACCCTCACATCCGTGGACTCCATGCGTTGGCGATGGAATATAGACTTGTTCCAGTTTCACCAATCTTCTTTTGGATTACATCCTTTAGTAATTTCTTTCATGTTACTGTGTAAGGGAGAACTTACATCAATTCTAAATCTTCTGGGGCTTGGGCTGCTACCAAATTTGCACCCACTGAACTACATGCTCCGTGAACAGCCAAAAGAAAACAAAGCTTCACACATCTCTGGGTCATTTCCTGGATGTGCAGGTACTATTTTCACTGAAAGTACATCTTCGGTCTGTCGGGTGCCCGTTGTACAATAGGTTCTCAGTGAGCTCTGTGTAGTTTGTCCGCCATTGGCAGTGGGATGCTATCCCATAACATGATGAGCACCACTATCACAGTGGTCTGACACTGGTGGCCTGGGCAATGCCAGACCAAACAACCTTCTCTTCCTCACTTTTTCTTCTGAGAGCTTTTTGCTTCTTTTCCCATGTACACAACTGTTTCTATCCTTTGCACCTCTCCTTTCTGGCTGTAACTATTCTCCATAATTCCCCTGACAGCAGCAACACTTGGTCCTGCTCCCCGGTGTGTATAACATGGGCTTTTTATCTAACTGTACACCTCAATCAGGACAGTCACAGGCTGGCCCTTCCGCATCTTTTGTCACAGCCACGAGGTTTGTGGCAGAATTACTGAGGGACTTCATGGCATAATCATAAAAATTCTCTTGTGCACTGTCTACAGGGGAAAGCTCAGATGCTCCAACAGCAGGTGGATAGCTTTCCTTTTCCCTTTTGGGAGAAACCACTGTAATTCCACCTGAACTGACTACATTCACGTTCCTGAGAATCTGCAGGGTTTGGCAAGGGCATCTCTAGTGAGACGGCAGGCAGCACTGCCAGTCTCTGTGGCCTGGGTGCTCAAAGGAATCCTGTGGAAACTGTTTGGTCACGGCCGGTCACTAGGTTAGCACACTGGTGAGGTGGACAGGAGGGCAGGCGCAAGGAGTGAGCATTCGAGTTGCCACTGACTGCTGTCTGTACCTGAGGACACTGGGCTTTATCCGCACACACCTGCCTGTGAGATTTGGCCTCAGGATGAAAACACTAGAAGGGAATCCAAAGGTTCAATCTTCAGCATTTTCTCCTGGACTCTTCAGGATATCACTCAAATTTTATCTGACTGAGGGGAGGAAATAATTTTTTGTGTTGTAGAGTGGTACTGCTTTGAGCTAGTGGTTTCAAAACTTTGGAAAAGGGAGGAATTTTTCTCAGCAGAAAAGGAAAATCCTGCACACCAAACTGACCAAATCTTTGAACTTTGGATCTGACCCAAAAGTCATGTAACTCAGGGCACACGCTCCTGCTGCTTCTGATCATTTTCTTGACAGGTTACCACGGGCTTCTTCTTCCACCAATCTGCTGTGGGGGTGGACTTCACCTTTTTCGGGGTTTTGTTCTTGTGCTTTGCTAATGATAAACTGTGATTGTTTCCCACACTTGAAGGTGGTTTCTGTGGCACGTGCCCTTCTCCTATGATTTTTGCTCTGCATTATGGGCAACACGGCTTGTTGGTGGACTCAGCATTCTTATCCTGCATTTATATAACTGCATTTAATTATTGATGCAAGTTGTGTTAATTACATTACAAAATCTTCCCCAATTTGGCTGTAAAATGTGTCCTGACTTGATGCATTTTCCTTGGAATTCAAATGTTCACTGTTGTCCAGCAATTGGTTAATATATCCCAACTTATTACTTGTTGGTGACAACTGAGGCAAATTCTGAGAACCATCATCAAGACCAGTCCTACTTCCAGGGATACTTCTACTAGTACCTATTTTCAAAGAACTGGATTTTGGTATTTAAAAAGATACTGCACTTTTTACATTTGAATGTTCAAGAGGCTTGGTGGGTGCTTGGTTAGTAGCAGGGATAATCTGCGGCTTGGACAGGGTGATCTGGCCACTGAACACCACTGTGGGGCATGAAATTTGCTTTTCTAGAGGACAATGAGGAATGCTTTTTAGCTCTCCATGGAAGTTAGGTCTTGGAGGTCCTTTTTTTTTTTTTTTTTTTTTTGAGACAGGGTTCGCACTATGTAGTTGAGTAGTTGAAACTGACCCGGAACTTACTATGTAGCCCAGGCTGGTCTCAAACCCCAGCAATCCTCCTTCCTCAGCCTCCTGAGTGCTGGGATTACAGGCGTATGCCAACATGCCTGGCTAAATGGAGTTTTGGTTTTTTTGTTTGTTTGCTTTTTTGTGGTACCAGGGATCAAACTCGAGCCCCTGTGCTTGCGAGGCAAGTGGTGGAACCACTGAGCCAAATCCCTGGTCCTCGGAGGTCTTTTCTTACGGAGTAGAAGATGGCTCTGTAGCTGTTAAGCAAACGAGCCGTTCTCTGAGCTGTTTCCTCCTCCTTCTCCGACTTGGATGCTGAGTTCTCCGACAGGTCTCCAGAGAATTGCATCAAGTCCTTGATAGCCACCACTTGCTCTAGTGTGAGCCTCCTGTCTTTCACGAGGAAGAGGAGTGTAGGCTGCAGAGGGGAGACATCTCACAGGTCTTCACTCACTCGGTTCTTGGGGGTTTTAGGCTGGTCACCTTTGTAAGTTTGGAGAATCTTCAGATTTGCAATTAAAGCCAGGATTTTTGAAGACAAAGATATTACTCTTTATTACTCTTGTCTTGAAGTAATCACAGCTTGTACCAGAGACAGTGGAGCTCACAGCACTGTTACGGTTCGCAAATCTTTCAGGAATTTGTAGAGATGGTTTCCGAAAGCCTTGCCTAAATCTTCAATACTGAATTTGTTGAATGGTGCGTTTGCTTCAGTTTCTAGACAGGGCATGATTTTAATGCTATTTCTTAAAGATTGTTTAGATTTTTCAGGGTGTTTAAATTTTTCATCTTTGGTGACATTTGCACTGAGTAGTCACTGATTTCTAGTTTTGCGTTTACATCTCCACCTTAATTCCCATCGTGCTTTCTTCATTTTTTGTCACATTTTAAGGGGCTGTGTGTTCACCTCCAATCTTTGTGCTTCTCCATGACCACCACTACTGTATTCCATGGATTGTGACTTTAGGCCATTTACAGGTTTTCAAAATTTGCCTTGGTGGGTGAAGACCAGGTGTTCTTCGAGACTTGTCCCATGGGAAGTCACAGGGCAACCTCAGGATTTCCAAACTCTACAGTTCCATTTACAATGGTTAAAGGTGGCACATTACTGGTTCTTAGAGTGTGAAATATCCAGAGTTGTAGCTCATACAACTTGTGACATCATCACAGGAGAGCTCTGCATGCCCACTGTGGCATGTGTGCCATAGGTTCATTACCACTACTCTAAATAGAAGACCCAAAATACAACACTAAGACTCCTGTAATGACCAAATTTAGCAATGTAGCAAGATACAAAATCAACAGCATTCCTTTAGACCAATAATGAACTCACTAAGACAGAAACTAGTAATACTATACCATCCATAATAGCATCGAGAAAAATTAAATACTTAGGAACTAACTTAACCAAGGAAATAAAAGACCTCTACAATGAAAACTACACTACTCTGAAAAGGAGATCAAAGAAAACATCAGAAAATGGAAAGATAACCTTATTCCTGGATAGGCAGAACCAATATAGTCAGAGTGGCCATGCTTCCAAAATTGATACACAGATTTAATGCAATCTCAAAGTGCGAATAGCACTGTACACGGAACTACAGAAAACAACTCTAAAATTCACATGGAACCAGACAATATCTAGAGCAGCAAAAGCAATCCTGAGCAACAAGAACAAAGCAAGAGGCACTACAATCCCAGACCTCAAGAAATCTTACAAAGCTACAGTGAAAAAACAGCATGACACTCGCACAAAGACAGCCATGTGGCTCTACAGACGAGAACAGAGGATGCAGAAATAATCTTAGACACATTCAGCTATCTCACCTTTAACAAAGGGGCCAATAACAAACACTGGAGGAAATCTAGCCTCCTTGATAAATGGTGCTGGGATAACTGGCTATCCACATGCAGAAAACTGACTCTAGGCCCATCTCTCTCATCATGTACTAAACTAAAATCAAAGTGGATCAAAGAGCTGAATGTTAAAACAGAAACAATCGGCTGGAAGTTAAAATAGGTAAAATTCCTGAAGGCACAATATAGGAAAGCACTTTCTGTACAGAACCCCAGCTGTACAGAAATAACAAATAGGATCATATCAAATTAAAAAGCTCCTGTACAGCAAAGAAAACAACCAATAGAGTGAATAGACAACCTACAGAAAAAACATTTTGCCAGCTAATTCTGTCCTTGGACAAAAGACAGTATCTAGAATACATAAAGAACTTTAAAAAAGTTAGACACCACCCAAACAAAATACCCAATCAAAAAAATGGCCAACTGAAATGAATCTATAATTCTCAAAAATGGCCTATATACATGAGAAAAGGTTCTCTTTAATGCAAATTAAGACAATACTGAGATTCTATCTTACTCCAGAAAGAATGGCTATCAAGAAATCAAACAATAATAATAAATAAAATAATAAATATTGGCAAAGTTGTAGGGAAAAGGAACCCTTCTACATTGTTGGTGGGAATGAAAACTAGTACAACAATTATGGAAAGCAGTATAGAGATTTCTCAAAAACTAGTAATAGAAATTCCGATTCAACGGTGCTATTCCCTAAGTACCTTTCTGAAAAAGTTAAAAGATATCATGTTACAGTGATACATGCATATCCATTCAATATAGCTCGATTCCCAATAGCTAAATCTTGGAAGCAGCCTGTATGCCCATAAATAGATGAATGGATAAAGAAAATGTGGTGTTTGTATACAACGGAATACTACCCCACCATAAAAGATAAACTTGCTGGGTGTAGTGGTGCATGCCTATAATACCAGCACTTGGATGGCCATAAATTTAAAGTCAGCCTGAGCTACATAGCAAGACCTAGACTCAGAAAAAGAAAAAAGATAACCTTGAGTACTTTGTAGGAATATGATACAACTTAAGACCCTAATGTTTAATGAAATAAATCAGGACACATAAGCTTAAATAGGTTTTCTCTTATATGAGAAATCGAAAATATGAATAAAGAGCAAAATAAAAGATAGATAGGAAGTAGGGAAATAGAAATTTTGCAAATGGGATGGGGGGAACTGAGAGATGGAAGAAGGGGGAAACAGGAAGAAGAAAAGGATGAAAATATTGAGATGTGTTATGTACATGTTACTAATTCCCCACAAGGAATATGATCATTATGTACTGCAAATATGTACTAATAAATAGTGAAGAAAAAAGCAATGCTTAGGCTACTGTATGAACTTTTCATGGCAGTATTTCCTATTTAGCAAGTAAATCTTTCACAAGGCTGACATTACCTGGGTAGAGAGATTTAAGAGAACATGTCACAGTGTCCTCTTTTCTAGTCAAGAGATTTTCCTGCTAGCCCTGACTTGTCCTTTTTTTTTCTCTTTCTGTACACCCAGCTCCACATGTTTCAAAAAGTGTCAATGTATATATAAGGCCAAAAGATGCTATATAAATAGAATTTTAAACACTTTACAAAATCTCATTAAACTCAGAACTAAGAGTTTAGCTTAGGGGGGCACTTGCCTACCATGAACTAGCCCTTAACTGAAAAAAAAAAAAAAAAAAAGGCTAAGTCCTTTAAAATGGTACCAGTCCAGTCAAATTTTAATATACAAACTATAAATATTTTTAGAGCTACATTCTTGGACAACATAGTCAACTTTCTTTTTCTAACATTTTATTTCATATTTATTTGTTTCTTTTTTTTGTACTGGGGATCAAACTCAGGACCTTGTGCTTGCAAGACAGGCGCAGTGCCAGTGAGCTAAATCCCTGGCCATAATCAACTTTTAAATTGTTAGCTCCAAAAGATAGATGTCAAAAATACTCATCAAATTTTCCACTGAGTTCTCAACAGTAGAATAACCACTTATACTAAACAGTATGTAAAATACAACCTGAATGTTTATCCACAAAGGATAGCCTTTACATTATTCAATATATTAAATGATTTTGCTCAGCAAGCTTTTTATCAAGAGTTCCAAGACAAACTTCTTATAAAGTCCAACCTATATCAAATCCTACTTTGTTCCAATCTAAAGAAACTTAAATCTATGACACTTCCATCTTGAAATACTTAAATCTATTTGAAGTAGTGAAATTTTTGTTGTAGTAAATTCTTGGTTAGAAACCACATTTTTGTGATTTAAATCTTGCCATTTAAATTAATATACCAAATTAAATATCTTCAAACCTTCTTACCATACAACAGGTTAAAAATTTATAATACTTAAAAGTATTGATCATAAGAAATAAAGGAAATTCTTACTTGTAATTGTTAATTTTTCAATTTTGACAATTCAGACTGAAGGTATAAACAGTCTTATATGCATTTACCAATTCTGGTAATCCTCTTAATAACCAAAAAATAGGAAGAATAAAACAAACTATTCCAATATGTTCTTTTGGTAAAGAACTGAATCTGAGACTCTAAAAGGTACAACTTCCAATAAAAATAGAAAGAAAGAAATGCAACTAAGTGAAAAGATTAATAAAATTTCAAAAGCAGGTAGCAGTATATTGGTGTGCAGTAAACTTCAAAAATAAGACTAGTAGTTCAAAACAGCTCAGAAAAGGCATCTGCACATATTATTTTGCTATTTCCTACCTTAAGTTCTTAGTGTTTTCAGATAAAACAAAGAATAATGGATTCTTTCAACTTTTTTTTTTTCTTTTTAATGGTACTGGGGATCAGAACTCAGGACCTTGCACTTGTGAGGCAGGTGGTGGCACCACTGAGCTAAATCCCTGGCCCGTTTCAACATTTATTTTTCTCATTAAACTGATTTTTAATTCCTAGAAACTGAATATAACTATGGGTATATACATTATATGTATACATATATACTAAATATCACGTCACTCATAAATCATGAAAATGAATAGTCTTCAAAATTAAGGTTTTTGTGGTTGCATGCTATTAAATTCTGACTATGTCATAATTTAACTTATTTGAAAATATTTCAAATTATCTACCTTTAAAATAACATGGGGGAAACATCTGCACTGCTATCTGCAAAAATTGGATTCTGACAACTTTTTTAGATAGTTTCTTAGAAATTACTGATTAGGTGATGAACACTTTTAAGGCTCTTACTACAAACTATCACTTGACCCCTGCCAAACTGACATTTTTATCCTTATAAACACAAAATAATGCATTTGTTACATTTTTCAGACAAGATCGAGCGCTTGCACAGTAGCAACAGTCATAGACAATAACATTTTTCAAAATGCTAAATATTATCAATTTCTTGGCAATTATATTTAAATGAGACTTTGAAAAAGGTTTTATAATAAACCAGTGCCTTCACAGAAAATGTACTTACTAATACTTTACCTTCTTCAGTTGATTCTTCTTAATTCTTTCAACAGGAAGGGGTTTGCCACCATGGAAGTTGGTAAGAATTACTGCAATAGCTGTAAGAGTTTTACCCTTTAAAATGTTTTAAAGAGACAAATGATCAGATTAATAATATTCTGAAACCCAGTTGATCAGAAAACATTCCAAATCAGTTTTAAAGTAATCAAATATTGAAATGCATTTTATCACATTAAAAGTATTAAATGATTTACAGCATAAAATACTGTAAGCATCTTTGAGAAATGTTATTTACTGAATGTAGGTCTAAGATTCTATATTCAAATTGGACCTACTAATTTTATCATGAAACTATTTACAACGATTTGTCATCCAATCAGAGCTAACTTAAAATGATTAGTAGTTCCAGTATGTGTACATGTGAAGACCAAATTGTTTTATTAAGTTTGATTTAATGGTAATACCAAACTTAAAAGTCACAAATGATCAGAAGTACATAGGTATATTTTCTGAGCATTTTTCTTGACCAGAAACACATTAATTTTTCAGTATTTTTAGTGGTGTAATGTATGGAGAGAAATACAGAATATAGATCCGGCAAGTTTAAGTATAAAATAGCAGTTTTCAAAATGTGGTCCAGATACTGCTGGTTGGTCCCCAGGACCTCTTCAGTAAAATGTAAGGTTAGAACTATTTTTATACTATTAAATAAGACCTTATTTGGTTGACATCTGTACCAATGCTATACAAAGCACTGTGTGCAAAAAAGTGCTAGTGCCTCATCATGAAACAAAGCAGATCTTGTATGACACACTATAGTCATCAGATTTTTAAATGCTACACACAAGTATCACTGGTCATGACTTAGAAAGTATAATAAATTAATGTTGCAAATTTATGTGTAACACTATAAATACAGCAGCTGCCAAAAATGCAAATACTTTTCTAGTAAGATCAGTGATCACACTGAAAGTGAATTTTTTATAGTGTATAATGAAATGAAATATTTGGCAGACCTACATAATTCAATAAACTAATTTTTTCTTAATGAGTGAGAGTGGTTATAAAATCATGCATGGGTAAAACATCCATTCCATGTGTGACATACACATATGGATTCTAATAAAATAAGAATGTAAAAACGACTATAAGGGTGTGATTTTAAGTTCACATTACAGCCATTTACCTTCTTTTTTTTCTTTTTTTTTGGTAGCAGGGATTGAACTCGGGTCCTTGCGCTTACAAGACAGGCTACCGAACCACTGAGCTAAATTCCTGGCCCCGCCAGTTACCCTTAATAAACTAATACTTGTTGGAGTTTAGCGTATAAACAATCTACAGCTCAGTGTAGTGAGGGATACCTGCAATCACAGCACCTGAGAGGCTGACAATTGAAACCAGCTTAGTAACTTAGCAAGATCTTGTTTCAAAATGAAAATTAAAAAGGGCTGGAGATACAACTAAGTGCAAAGGACTTGTGCTCAATCCCCAATACCACAAACAAAAACAAAAAGAAAGAAAAAAAGAAATCCGTAATTATCTAAAAAAAGCTATCAAAATATCCTTCCCTTACAATCACATTAGCTATCTATGGATAAATTTTCTTCATATACAGCATCCAACGTTAACAGATTGAAAAAGTAGATATGAATTCAACTATCATCCATCAACATCAAAAAGATTTGCAAAAAATGTAAAACAATGCAAAATAGTGTTCTTATAAAACTTGTGATCGTTTTAGAATAATTTTTATTTAAAAATATACTATTTATGTGTTTTGTTTGTTTTTTAGTACTGATAAATGAACCTAGGCCATTACACTAATCCATATCCCCAGCTCTTTTTTAAATTTTTAATTTTGAGACAGGATCTCACTAAGTCACTAAATTGCCCAGGCTGGGGTGAAATTTGAAATTCTCTGCCTTAGCCTACAACAATGTTAGGAGTACAGGTGTGGACCACCACACCCAGCTATTTGTGATAAGGAACAAGTTTCTGTCAACTATTCTTTTTACTTTAAAAACAGTTTTACATCAGTCATGGTGTGGTGCATCTGTAATGCCACAACTCTGGGAGTGTGAGGCAGGAGGATCACCAAATCTGAACCCAACGTGGACAAATTTAGTGACTTAGTGAGACTTTATTTAAAAATAAAAAATAAAAAGGGGCTGGTGATGTAGCTCAGTGCTAAGGCCCTGGATTCCATCCCTAGCACCATCCCCCTACATAAAAAAGTTTGCCTAGTGCAATATATATTAATAGCTATAGCTCAAAAAAATATAAGCTTTTTGTGATTCCCAATAAATTGTAAAAGTATAAAGGCTTACTGAGATCAAAATGTTCAAAAACTGCTCATGTAAGGAATTATGAATATCTGTTGAATAGTACGCATAACACAGTATTTGTGATAAAATACAATTTGACATAACATTGTCTTTACCTTTTTGTTGCTGGTTTTTGCCATGTTGGGGACTGAACATAAAAATTCTGCTGCTTAAATACTCCCCCATCTATTTTTAAAACTAAACCTATGAAAGACAGATAATCCTGAATTTCAAAGAGAAAAGAAAATTGACAAATATGTATATATTGTTACTGTTACATAATTATTCCTTAATGAGCCAAACAGAAAATTTAGCATTATCTTAAGTAAAAAAAAAAAAAAACCCACAAAATTATTGTTCTATATTCCAAGAAAAATCTAGTCCTAACCTTTCAACTTCAAAATTACTTTGTACAAAAATCACAATCACAAAATAAGATTTTATTAAAAAGAAACAGAAGTTACCAAGCCCATATCATCAGCTAAAATTCCTCCATGGACATTTTCTGGTCGTTCCTTCTCAGAAAAATTTGTTATTGTGTTATAGTATAAGTCATTTCGCTGTTCCCAGAACAGTGGAAGTTCTTTACTGTTTTCTCGTGATATCATCCAAGCTAGAGCTTGTTTCTGATGTGAAAGCAATGGTGTTTCAATAGCCTATAAACAAAATGTTATAAAGATAAAGACAGTAAGTCCTTTCTTGTTTTCACTAGCAGAACCAGAAAAAACACTGATCTTGGGATAAATGTACAGATTACAGGTACATTTAAAAATTCCTCACAGTTTTCAATAGAAAGTAATGGTACAATACCTCGGATGGTTCCATTTCCTGAGTTTTATCATCTTCTTTTAAATCTTCAAATAATCTGTCAAATTCTGTTTTAAGCTACAATAGACAGCAAAAACAAAAATTAACAAACTCAACTAAAGAAACAATTGCAATTATTTCAGAGATTTCAAATAATCTAGCTAAAAAAAACAAAAGTCAAAAAGTATATAAATTGACTCTGAGATATACACCGCTCATTGAAGGTAGAATGAACAGGTGATTCTGTTACCAAAGGGAAATGTATTATATTTGGGAAAAAACAGAAAAGAGTTACAAAGGATATATGCTTGCCTAGCGTGTATTGTACAAGGTCCTGGGTTGGATCCCCATCCCTGAATTTAAAAAAAGGAGGGAAGAAAAAGAGTTATAATTCTTGGGTTTCAGTCCAAGTTCTGCCACAGAAAAAAAAAGCCTATATACATTTGGGAAAGGTACTTAAGCTTCTTTGGTTAAGATACTTGTACAATATCTTATTCTTATAAAATGAAAGGAATTAACTAAAAGTTATCAAGGTTCTTCCTGCTATTACAATTCTATTTCTTTTAGTTGTATTCAAAATATTTTAGCAGTCCTAAAAAATATACATGACCCTTTTTCAAGACAATAACATTTTATTATTGTCATAAGGAACTTGATATATGCTACAAAATATCAGGATTTCATTATTACGCTAATTTAGCTGACCATCTAAACTAATCTTGTCCAATTTTATAGTACCACATACTATACGTGTTACCATTACTTTTGCAAAACAGGACAGCCTAGAAAAATATCAGGACAGGTTTAAGAAGTTAACAGAGGTTGCCTGGGGTTGAGGCGCCCGACACAAGCTTAAGCCTATCCAACAACAAGGAAAAAACATGGTGACCACAATAAGAAGACAAACATGTAACAGTGGTGGACAGACATCAAAAAGTGCTTATGCTTTTTAAAAAATTGATTGGCATTATTGTATATATGTTTTTTCAAACTAACTCTGCATAACAGGATCCTAGATTACAAATCAAGACAAAGTGAAAACTAGGGTAATGCCAAAGATTTGGAGTTAATCTTTTAGCACTGCATTTGCAACCTTACTAAAAGAAGTTTTTAAAATTACTACTTGCACATTTTTAAAATTTTAAATACAAAAATATGCCACATAGCCAAATGTGGTGGCACACGGCTGTAATCTCAGCACTTGGGAGGATGAGGCAAGAGGACCACGGCAAGCTCGAGGCCAAGCCGCACCACAAAGTGAGACCCTGTCTCAAAAAAACAAAAAAATAAATCCTACACATATACAGCTGTGAGCATGTTTTTTACTGTATATATGAATGTGTTTATATAGGTATATAGCAAGTCTTCCTTATCACAGATCTAACCAGCCACAGATTAAAAATGTAATGAGCCTATGATCACTGTGTATTAAATATATGATTACTTCTTAAATTGATATTCCCTAAGCAATGTAGCAACTATTATATAACATTTATGTTATATTAGGTATTATAAGTAATTGGGAAATGATTTAAGGTATACAGAAAGAGACACACATATATGCAAATATGTCATTTTATACAAGATACTTAGGGATCCTAAACAATTTCTACAGATACAACTATATTCCTTATCACTGCTTTCTAGATAATGTTTGAAGACA